CGGGACCATCAACATCTCGCCTCAAATTGCATTAAAAGTGACATTTGTGTCTTAATTCGTTCGTATTTCAACTTTTAGCAATTCACGGTCCGCCATCTTGGTATGCTTCGGTTGCCGAGAGACGCGCATGCGCAGGTTTGCATTATATCATAAACAGCTGAGGCAGTGCATCTCTTCAAGACAGTGTATCTCGGCGTTACACCGGCAAGCCCCGGCATCCTGTGATTGACAAGCAAGCTGTCAATCACAGCCCAGACCACGGCAAACTTCAAGCCCCCCCATCTTGTCCCTTGGTCCTTCAGGCCACCCCCTTTTTAGAGAGAATTTTCAAATGTTCATGTGGGCAGAGTAAAGGCCTGTGTACACTCACGCTGTGCTGCTTACGGATGTGGTTATGTTGGACCTAAGTAACCACAGTTGGTGGTACACTAGTGCGTTCCCCTAGTTTTGAAGAGAATGTTGTAATCCCACAACCAACCACGTGATGGTGACCTCACAGGAGTTGCCTGAGAAACCAAAGTGTTCTCATTTACACTGCTACTTTCTCCCCTTCAGAACAAAAACAATAGCGAAGCTGTTTGAGAGAATTACATGTATCTACTGTAGGTTTATGTGATAGTTCTATGGACTCATCGTTTCAACTCAAATATCTGTGATGCTGTGAATAAAGACACAGTACTTGTTGGAAACATAGTTATTATTCAATTGTATTCAGCACAAACAGCAAAACAATAAGTGGTAAATATCTGAGACAAACATCAACTATTTACAAGCGCAGGAGGAATGCAACAGACGCAAAAAGCTACGAGACAGGACAGAACAGTGCAAAAGAAGCGACTGCACAGTTTATAAGTTATATATAAGTTAGATATGCAACAGAACTCTCGTCCACAGTCTCCGCGTATATCAGGCTCTATGAGCCCAAACTGCTTTTCCTTCGGTTCCTTCGAAGCGCGAAGCAGTCTGCTCCGAAGTGCATCATCCATGCTTCTGCAGCCGCTCCATGCTTCACAGAAAGTAATAACACACAGACCAATAACAGCGGAGCTTCCTGGCGGCGACCCTTACGTAGTTAGACATTTTTGAGGGTGCGCGGCAGGCTACATAAGGGCCTTGCGGTGATCCACGCGTTGTTCGAGTGACGTCACATCACCACCGTAAGCTCTGCGCCACGCGACTATACACTAGGCTTAAGGCTGGGCACTGGTGCTAAGTTGATCTATTTTCTCTTAAAGCTGAAGTACCTAATTTTGAGAATGTAGTAAAAATTATGTTCTAACAAACTCATATTTTCTGATTTTGGTTGGCAAATTCTACAGATGTGTTAAGTCCCCCAAGATAACTACTGTTATGATTTAGGCCTTTCAAGAATACATTGAATTTAATTTATTTGATTAACTGTCCATCACTAGCACTGGCTTTGTAAAATATCAAATATCAAAATATCCAAGAACTAACTTATTTTCCCATTAGCACAACTTAAGAAATTGTTTTTGGGATAACAAATCTCGAACGGCCAATCAATACAATACAATACAATTAATTCTTGTATACTGTAGCCCTAAATCACAACAGAAGTCATCTCAGAGGACTTAACAAAACCATTGAAATCACCAACACAGATCAGAGAATCAACAGTTAAAACACATAAAGATAATAGAACACATGTTGAAAAATGTCCATACATTTTGTAGAATGTTAAAGTGTCCTGGATCATCACCACAGATCAACCAACTCTCAAAATGTTGAATAGTGACTCTATGGCTTGTTAATTTAATTTAAAAGTCATGTGTTTACAATACTTTTTATAGGATTTGCAGGTATGAAACAAATATGCCAATTTTCTGTCTCGCAAAGGAAAATTTGGGTACACTTGCTTTAAGCCCGAGATTCAATTGCTTCTGCCTAGCTCTTCCGACATGGCCACAGTTTTTATTTACTTTGAAACATTCTATTCTGAACCAGTGATAACACAATGATTTGAAGACAGCTGCTGATCGCCCACTTGATCTGTTGAGGAACAGGGTTTTTGTTGTGAAATAGTTTCTGCTGATGTTGCATAAAAAGGAAGAGCACAGATTTAACTGGTGAGACTGAATACAAAAGTAAGCCTACTTGCTTCTAGTATTTAAATTCAAAATTGAGAAGAATGTTCTAAAGAATGGTTTTGGATTATCTTTCAGAACATGTACAGTATAACACAAATCCACTGAACAACTGAAAAAACCCATAAAACTCCAATCCCCTCACTCATTTAACACAGTCAAGATGATTATTTGGAACACAATTAAAAACTAAACTAAAAAAGTATTATTACAATATCATATATAGAACCACACAACACCCACAGGACCAAACACTCTCTGACCCAACAAGGGGTGTTGGGCCCAAGCCCCGGCGATCCAAGATGGCGCCCTATTCAAATGAATGGTTGTGCTCAGTGGCGCTTTGTGACAGCATGGGGGCTGAAAGATTAGCGGAAGTCGCCTGGAACTCGCAAAGATCTATGGGAACTCGCCTGTATTTGGGCATCGTCTGGTCCTCCCGGTTCTGCGCAGTGGATGATCTCCCATAATGCGTTGCGCCAAACACGCGTGTGTGGGTCTCATGCACGTGCACAGAGGGGCTCGGCCGCGCTCTGACCAATCAGAGCAGGTCATCAGAGCGGGAGTTAGAGCGAGAGCCAGACGAGCAGAGTTTGTGGCACTAAAGTGTGGATTTAAAGAAAACCGAAGAATTTAAGAAGAAAAAAAGTTCAGGATGACAAGGGACACTAAAATCCCCACAAAATCCGACCTTTATTAAAGCTGTTCTCTGTCAGCTGAGGTTGAGCTGTTTTAATATGCATTGAGTTCTATGGGGAAAATTTCTGGGTAGCCCACGTGAATTTAGTCTGGTTCAGTCTGCAGTACCGCGAGGATCCCCCGAGCACATGAGTTATTCAGCTACAAGCTAGGAATACCCTATCCAGTTATTATAATAGATCCATGGTTGGGCCCCAGTACTCGCAAAATTTGACCGGCCAATTAACAAGATTTTATCAGCAGGCCGGCGTGTCTGTTGATTACCGTCTCAAGTCAAAAGTTGTAAACAATCAGATATTAGATTGTGTTTCTTGAGTGATGAAAGACAATAAGGTTGGGTTGACGTGCGGGTGTAGTAATTCTGTAAAATCTTGTTAGGTTATCCTCCTCTGTCAGTGCCAGACAATAAACAAAACCACATTACAGCCTTTTACTGTAACAGCGCAGGGACCTGGAGCTAAACGGATCAACATACCAACAAACAACATGTTTTTTCATCATCTTGTCTTTTCATCATTGCCCACAGATGCCGCTGAAAGGAAAGGCTAGTGGAGTGTTGTCCACAGCAGCTTCAGTAATTCAATAAGGCGTGAGAAAAATGTGCCGTTGTCCTTGGGAGCCTGGCAGGTGGCCTGACTCCTCAAATCCACAATAATGACATGATGATATGCTAGGGGAGAAGGGAATGGGAACATCACAGAGCTGTAATCTGACAAATGATATAACCGTTTATTTAACCAAGACAATTTTTCACATTCCATCATGTTATCCAGTTATCATAGGCCCCAGAGATGTAAACTTCTTTACATTTTAACATAGACTGGAATATATTTTACCTACACATTTATCCTGGACTGACTTTGATCTTGTGAATCAAAGTCACTACTAGAATACTCATTCATTCATTCATTTTCTACCCTTTCATTAGTCCTAACCTTGTCAGGTTACAAGTCCTTTCATAGCACTGAGTCTGCCCATGTCAAGGTTTGTTAATGACAGATTCTGGTGGTTCTGGCATGTTAGTGCTTTCGTGTCACTGCCTGTGACACAGTTGACCGCGTAATTCTTTTAAATTGTTGAATTTAAAACTATGTGGACTGATTCAAATTGTATTTGTCTGGGCGCTCCTTCTGTGTCAGACTGGGGACTCTGCTTCTTCACAGGCCTCTCTTCACTATTGAGTCCCCCATGGGTGTATTCTTGGGCATATAGTTTACGCTGTACCTCTTGGATTGCTGCTAAACATATGTTCATATGAGTATATGATTTCTATGCAGATGATTCCCAAATATATCTTTCCCCAACACCCCTACTCGAGTGACTTAGTGAGATAACGGGTTATGGTTAATTGTCCAAATAGTCTAACATCTGAAATATGATGAAATGGAAGATCATATTTGGGCCCAGTGTCAATACAAACTCTTTGACCTGGGCTCCTTGAGTCACTAGCCACGGCTTCCAACCATGGTGTCATCATGGACTCCAGTCATTATCATCTTTGTTGTTTTGCTAAAATTCCTACTACCTACTACCTAACTATTAAATACCTATTTTCACTGCACTGCACTTAAAATGAACCAAAACCTACTTCACCAGCTGCAGATAGTCCAGAAGCCAGCTCCAGCTCATGGGGCCTGGACAAGACTTAAAACTCTGTCGCTGGTTCAAAGCTATGTAACACCTTTCCCTCCAATGTTCAAATGTCCTCTGGCTTTTAATACCTTGAGTTGTATGGTCCTCATATGTAGCTACTTTGGTTATTCATAGCTACTTATATTCTATTATATCTAAAATGGATTTGGCAGACGTGCAAGTGAATGTAACTATGTGGAGCACTTTGGGAACTGTTTATAAAAATGTGGACTGTGAAAAAATAATTATGTTAGTAAATATTCAGCTCATGTTTGAGGCAACAGTGGCTCAGTTGGTAGAGTATTGGCCCTAGAGCCTGAAGGTCGTGGGTTTGAACCCACCACAAGACCTACTTTACAACCCCCGCTGATAACTGCTGTCGATGTGTCCTTGGGCAAGACACTCAACCCCACTTTGCCTGAAGCCCATGCTGAATAATCAAGGCTCCTTTGGACTCACCACCTGCAGGAGGATCAGTGAGGGGCTGGTGTTCTGTGTACTGGGTGCAGCTCTGACTGCCACCCCCCCGACCCAGAAATGGATTAAGGGGAAGAAAATGGATGGATGGGTGGGTTTGAGGCCTGTTTCTGAGGCTCTCTGAGATCAATAAAATTTTCTAAATCTCTAATACAGTCTTCACCTGTTGATTTGTTGGCCTCAGATGAGCTGTCCTCTGCTGAAGAAGACAGTTTGGACAGCCCTCAATCCCCCCTCTCCTCAGGGACCCTCACACTGACCCCTTCAGCTGCACAGGTAACAGCTGTGTCTGTGTGTGTGTGTTTGTTTGTGTGCCTGTGTGCGTTTTTGTCTGTCATCTCTGCTTCTCTAGCAATAACTTCTAACTCCTCTTTAAAGATGATCACTCTGCCAACGTGTGTCCAGAAGATAACTGCAGAGGTTTTTATAAACACACTGTTATGTGTAGCATGAGGCTAACAGCAATTCTAAATATTGTGCACCAAATCCTTTGTAGAACAAGATCAACTCTGAGAACTGTATCCAAAAACACAAGAAACCCAACGACGACAGGCCAAAGGTATCTCATCAGAAGCATGATACTATTTCTTTATTATGCAAATGTTAAAGATTGTATTTTATTTCAGTATAGAATTATTGTTCACTTTGTTTTGCTGTGTGCTCCTCATTCCTTCTGTTCTGTAACTGGTGATGCAACACTGACATTCCCCAAGCTGTGGAACAAATAAAGGATCTCTTAATCTTATTTTATGTGTCAAAAATGGTTGTTAGACTTAGACAGACTTTATTGATCCACAAGGGAAATGCGTTGTCACCCGTAGCTTGCATAGTATTCCACAAAAAATAACAATGAAAATAACAATGAAGTAAACAACCTGAAAATAAGGATAATAATAATAAGATACTATTGTGAGAATAGAATAATATGGCTATAGGTACTGAGGAATAAACAAATCTGTGAATATGTACACATTTACAGTTAACTCCTAGGATAACGTTTTTTTTTCTGAAGCATACAGACCCTATGCAGGGTTTGTCAAAAGATTCAGATGAGACAGATGTAATTAATGCCAATCTGCAAAAGATTTCGGCAAAAATTATCTTTTATTTTATTGGACTGCCACCTTAACGTGGTGGGGGAGTTTGAGTACTCTGATGATCCTGGGAGCTATGTTGTCTGGGGCTGCAAGCCCCTGGTAGGCTATCCCATGGCAAACAGGTCTCAGGTGACGAGTCAGACGAAGCGCAGTCGAAAACCCACCATGGATAGCACGTTATTGAGAACAGTGACGTCGCCCGGCATGGCGCAGCCGGGGCCCCACCCTGGAGCCAGGCCTGGGGTTGGGGCTCATATGCAAGCGTCAGGTGGCCGGGCCTTAGCCCACGGGGCCCGGCCGGGCTCAGCCCAAAGGGATGACGTAGGCAGGCCCTCCTGTGGACTCACCACCCACAGAGGGATCCGTGGTGGAGCGGTGCGGAGAGGACTGGGCAGCAGTCGAAGGCGGAGACCTCAACGACCCAGTCCGCACACACAACATCTGGCTCTTGGGACGTGGAACGTCACCTCACTGGGGGGGAAGGAGCCCAAGCTCGTGGGGGAGGTTGAGAGATACCGACTAGAGATAGTCGGCCTCACCTCCACACACAGATTGGGCTCTGGAACCCAAATCCTTGAGAGGGGTTGGGCGCTCCACTTTTCTGGTGTTTCTCGCGGGGAGAGGCGGCGAGCGGGGTGGCCATTCTCATAGCCCCCCATCTCAGCCGCCACGTGTTGGAGTTCTCCCCGGGGAATGAGAGGGTCGCGTCCCTCCGCCTCCGGGTGGGGGACAAGTCTCTCACTGTTGTGACTGCCTACGGGCCAAACAGCAGTGCAGAGTACTCGGCCTTCTTGGAGTCCTTGGGAGGTGTACTGGACAGTGCACCGCCCGGGGACTTAAACGCCCATGTGGGAAATGCCAGTGACACTTGGAGAGGGGTGATCAGTCCCTCTGATCGGAACTCGAGCGGTGTTCAGTTGTTGGACTTCTGTGCTAGTCATAGTTTGTCCATCACGAACACCATGTTCGAGCACTAGAATGTCCACCAGTGCATGTGGCACCAGGATACCCTAGGCCGGAAGTCGATGATCGACTTTGTTGTCGTATCATCTGACCTTCGACCACGTGTCTCGGACACTCGGGTAAAGAGAGGGGCGGAGCTGTCAACCGATCACCACCTGATAGTGAGTTGGATCCGCTGGCAGGGGAGGAAGCCGGTCAGACCTGGCAGACCCAAGCGTGTAGTGAGGGTCTGCTGGGAACATCTCGCGAGCCCCCTGTCAGGCGGACTTTCAACTCACACCTCCGGGAGAGCTTCTCCCAGGTCCCGAGGGAGGAGCGGGACATCGAATCTGAGTGGACCATGTTTTCTTCCTCTATCTCCGATGCTGCAGCTTGTAGCTGAGGTCGCAAGGTCTCTGGTGCTGATCCCGATGGCAACCCCCGAACCCAGTGGTGGACACCAGTAGTAAGGGATGCCGTCAGGCTGAAGAAGGAGTCCTATCGAGCCATGATGGTTCGTGGGACGCCTGAGGCAGCTGTTTAGTACCGGCAGGCCAAGTGTGCCGTGGCCCAGGCTCTCGCAGAGGCAAAAACCCCGGACTGGGAGGAGTTCGCAGAGTCCATGGAGCATTAATATCGGTCGGCCTCAAAGAGATTCTGGCAAACCGTCCGGCGCCTCAGGAGGTAGAAGCGGTGCTTTGTCAACACCTCGACTGGGGATATTGTCGGACGGTGGAAGGAATACTTTGAGGTTCTCCTCAATCCCCCCGTCACGTTCTCCAGAACAGAGGCAGAGGCTGAGTATGTTGGGGCGGATACTTCCATCTCTCTGGCTGAGGTCACCAAGGTGGATGGCAGCCTCCTTGGTGGCAAGGCGCCGGGAGTGGATGAGATCTGTCCTGACTATCTTAAGTCTCTGGATGTTGTAGGACTGTCTTGGCTGACACGTCTCTACAACATCGCGTGGCGATCGGGGGTGGTGCCATTGGGGTGGCAGACCGGGGTGGTGGTCCCTCTCGAAAAGAAGGGGGAACGGAGGGTGTTTTCCAATTATGGCCGTGGAACACTGGACAAGCGCTATACTCTCCATCGGGTACTCGAGGGTTCATGGGAGTTCGCCCAGCCTGTCCACATGTGCTTTGTGGACTTGGAGAAGGCATTCAACCGTGTTCCCCGGGTTGTCCTTTTGGGGGTTCTCCGGGAGTACACTCTGCTGAGGGCCATCCGGTCCCTGTATGACCGGAGCCAGAGCTGTGTTCGCATTGCCGGCAGTAAGTCAGACCTGTTCCCGGTGCATGTTGGCCTCCGCCAAGGCTGCCCTTTGTCACCGGTTCTGTTCACTGTATTTATGGACAGAATTTCTAGGCGCAGCCAGGGGTCGGAGGGGGTCTGATTCGGGGACCACAGGGTTTCATCTCTGCTGTTTGCGGACGATGTTGTCCTGTTGGCTCCGACGAACCAGGACCTGCAACATGCACTGGGGTGGTTTGCAGCCGAGTGTGAAGCGGCTGGGATGAGAATCAACTCCTCCAAATCCGAGGCCGTGGTGCTCGACCGGAAAAAGGTGCCTTGCACAAGCAGTTCTTCCTCAAGTGGAGGAGTTCAAGTATCTCGGGGTCTCGTTCACGAGTGAGGGAAGGATGGAGCGTGAGATTGACAGGCGGATCGGTGTAGCCTGCGCAGTGATGTGGTTGCTGTGTCGGACCATCGTGGTGAAGAGGGAGCTGACCCGAAAGGCAAAGCTCTTGATTTACTGGTCAGTCTTCGTTCCCACCCTCACCTATGGTCATGAGCTTTGGGTAATGACCGAAAGAACGAGCTGCGAATACAAGCGGTCGAAATGAGTTTCCTCCGCAGAGTGGCTGGGCGCTCCCTTAGAGATAAGGTGAGGAGCTCGGTCACACAGGAGGAGCTCGGAGTAGAGCCGCTGTTTCTCCACGTCGAGAGGAACCAGTTGAGGTGGCTCGGGCATCTGTTCCGGATGCCTCCTGGATGCCTTCCTGGGGAGGTGTTCCGGGCACGTCCCACCGGGAGAAGGCCCCGGGGAAGAGCCAGGACACGCTGGAGAGACTATGTCTCTCAGCTGGCCTGGGAACGCCTTGGGGTCCCCCCGGTCGAGCTGGAGGAAGTGTGTGTGGATAGGGAAGTCTGGGCGTCTCTGCTTAGACTGCTGCCCCCGTGACCCGGCAACGGATGAAGCGGAAGAAAATGGATGGATGGATGGAAAATATGTTTTTTGATACATTTGCGTTGTTGGACAGTGCTGCAAATGTAATAAAAACCAAGCACTTGCAAAAAGCAAATGGAAGTATGTCCACTGTGTAATATTTGGTATTGTTTACGGTGGAGATGAAGAAGCTGAAGTACCATGAGTATGTCCCTCCAGACCAGAAGGGGGATAAAGAGGCCCCTCCTAAACTGGACTCATCCTACGCCAAACTGCTCCAGCAGCAGCAGCTCTTCCTGCACCTGCAGATCCTCAGCCAGCAGCAGCAGAGCCAGACTCACCAGTGAGACTATTGAACCACATTTATGAACCAAGCCTATAGGACACACTGTACTTCTATTCTTCCACACAGGCAGAACAAGACTGACCAAGAGCAACTGCGACCCTCTTCAGTGGATGCACCTTCGGCCAGTGCTCACAAAGCTCCAGCGGAGGAGAGCTTCAAGCAAGAAGGTCTTCCCCAAAACCTGGACGAACTCAAGGTAGAAGTCCCCAGGGTTACAGAAACCTTTCAAATGCTTTCTGGAAACATAATACAGGGCTTACGGTATATAAAGGGTTTGAGTGGTGACGGACATTATACAAATAAACAAATACATGTACATAAATAAATGTTAGTAACAATTTACTAATACAAACTTTGTCCGGCTGGAAGGAGAGACGCCATATGGTAATGTGAAGCACTGCTTAACCATTCAGAAGTAAAAAAATAAAATAAAAAATCATCATACACTCCAGATCAAAAAGACCTGATGAAAAATTGCTTGTTTGATCCTAATAAGGTGTGGAGTTTCAAAATACAGCCCTAATTTCAGGCAAGGATCGTCTTGTGAATCTGAACCACCACTCTTGGGGATTTTTTTTTTGGTCTGCCACTCGGCCTTTTAACTCTGTCTGAAATATTATTTTGGGAATTTTTGAGGCCTTTATTATGCAGTCCAACTATCCAAGGCAAGGCAGGCAAGGCAAGGTTATTTGTATAAAACAATTCATACACAAGGCAACTCAAAGTGCTGAACAAGACAAAATAGCATTAGAATCATGAATAATCACAGTACATTAAAAATAAAGATAGAAATATAAAAACCCTCAGTTGTATGCACAGCTAAACAGAACTGTTTTTAACCTGGTTTTAAACAATGTCAGAGAGGAGGCCTGTCTCACATCTTCAGGAAGATTGTTCCAGATTTTAGCTGCATGAATTTGAAATGCAGCCTCCCCATGTTTAGTTCTGATTCCGGGCACCAGCAGGAGGCCAGTCCCAGTGCTCCTCAGAGTCTGGCTCGGTTCATAAGGGACTAACATGTCACTAATGTACTGTGGACCCCAGACCTGACCAGAATATGGACATGCACATTTTTGTCCTGATTTTAGCTTTTAAAGGCTTTATATGAGTAGCAGTGTGGTCTACTGTCTACCTGTTTTTATTTATTTAGCAGAGGTGAGCAGCGTTTAAAAGGGGTTTGACGTTGTCGGACCTTACATCTGACGTCAACAAGCATGGCCGCAGGTACTGACTGTCTCCAAACTGCTGGATCCACTAAATCATGTGAACCGGCCCTGGGGTTCTTTCCACTCGCGTGATGAAATGCGTAAAGTAAAAGAATGAATTATCAGCACGAGCCTCTTCTTCACCCCTTCATGTTCCATGCCTGTGTGATGTGTGTGTGGATCAACGATGTGCATGGACCATGGAAACGTATTTTAATTAGACTTAACACATTTAAATTATAATAAATTATGTTTGCTAAAAGTTATTGTCTCCGTTCTCAATATCCTCCGAACCTGTGTCCTTGTATGTGCGGGAGAAATTGGGTTTCCCCATTGTGTGGCGTTGCAATTGGTGTTCGAGGTAGTGAATGGGAGTGTCTGGTAGTAGTAAGATGTCCGCACCAGCCTCTCAATGCTACACATGTCATTATTGTTTTTGATCAACTCCTTTGTGACTCAGTCCAGATCTTCTTCTGTATTTGTACACTCTGAAATACAGTAAGATTTTGCAGAAATGCAATTTGAAATGCAATGCTTGAGATTATTCACCTAATTATAAAATTAGTGAGTAAAAAAATCTGTAAATTTTCATTAACTCCAGGATGAAAACTGGACATGTTTTGATAACTACGACTACTCCGAGGTCTCATGGTTGAAGACAGACATCTTTAATAATAAATAATAATGTTAAAAGAAGAAACAACTGAAACAGTTTCATTATATAAAACGGACTAGGCAAGGTAAGGAAAGGCAATTTTATTTATAAAGCACCATTCATGTAGAAGCAATCCAGTACGGAATGACCCACTCATGCATCCCATAATACTCAGAAGTGCCGCTAACGGGCTTCTCATTTTGAGAAACCCTCCTACTCTCCCCTACGCTCTCCTCCCATGAGCCATGCAGTTTTAATAGCAATCTGATAGTCATTAGTTAGCATTAGCATAACTTCTTATTAGCTGTGCAGCAGTCACTGACGGAATGATACAAAAGCAACGCACTGCTATAACTGAAAGATTAATGCTAGTTTTGCGTCTGAGGCAGTCCCGCACCAGCAGGTCTGTCCAGAGGATATGATGTAAGCTAGCTATGCTCACTCGGGCTTGATTTCTTTGATAATTTTTTCGCTTTAGTTCCCTCTTCTCCTCTTCACTGTTGTGTCGTTTTGGGCTGTGTTGCTGTGTATGCAGTTACAGCCAGAGCAGGTATAGCCACCTTCTCTTGTCCTGCTGTAGTGTTTACATGCGCTGCAGACTCTAGAGGACGCCGCCTGTTCGTAACAGCGCTGCCTGTCGTTGGAGGTGAACCAGCGTCATGCAAAGTTTCTTCTCAGCACTTTTTATGGCCTGAATTCATACATAGCTGAATCAATTAGCCAAAACTGTCAATTCATTTACAGGGTTTAATACAACTTGTGTGTAATAATACGCATTTTTTAGGAACTCATTAGAAAATAAATCAATGGACTGTAGACAGTTTTCTGTTACTCAACAAGAGGCTCTTTTTGCTATTTTTGGAGGAAAAAAATACAGTCTACAGAAAGACAGAATGTTTATAATGTTAATGCCATTTTATGTGGATTTATAGTTGTTTTAATAAACAAATACAGTACATATGTACACTATGTTGTCATTTATTCCATTCAAACATCCATTTACAGAAAAATATGGCATAATTTTGCCGATACTTTGAAATGCGGTTAGTTACAATTAATTGATTTTTAAGCTGTAATTAACTCGATTAAAAAAAACATTTTGTTTGACAGGCCTAATTTTTCTACAAGGTCATAAGGTTCATTCAGACAGTGATACAAATCATATGTATTCTTTTTGTATTTTCACACAGTGTATGTAAACATCTGGTTTCCACTGCATGTATGTTTCCCCAAAAGATATATAGAGATACACAGCCTTGTGTGAATAAACCAGAGTGGATGTTTTCGAAGAAAGCTGTCGTGCAACAGTGATGGATGGCCCTTTCTTACAGTTTTCTCCCTCGTTTCCCATGATCCTTTTCTCTCCTCCTCTCACATTATCCTCACCTTTGCGCTGCCGTTCACTCTTTCTCCTTCAATCTCTCTCCACTTTGTCTCCTGTCAGGTCGCTGAACTCAAGGCTGCGCTGAAGCTGCGAGGCCTCCCCGTGTCGGGCACCAAGAGCGACCTGATGGAGAGGCTCAGGGTGCACCAGGCAGGCGGCAGCGGTCGGGACAGTACTCGTGCTCAATCTCCAGGGGGTGCCATAGAGCTAGGGGCAGAGGGAGCAACAAAGATGTCAAGAGCAGCTGCTAATGGTCATCTCTCACCAGGTCAGCAGCAGGCAATTTTCCCTCTAATGTGAAACCGAGGACCTAAATAATTTACAAATCCTTTCACACACAAACTCCAAATGAGCTTGAACTACTAACCTTTGTATTATTGTTAAAGATGATGCCAGCCACTTAAATTGTATTTATGTAGACCAGTGGTGTCAAACTCATTTTGGTCAGGGGCCAAATGATAAAAATAGGAAATGGTCAGGGACCGAACGAATAGAAGGATTTTTTTTCTCTTATAGTTGGTTTTTGTTACATGATCATGAACAGGCACTGTATTTTGACATGACTTTAATGTGACATGAGCATGTGTTGTTTTTGAGTGTTTGTATAACGTTAAACACATACAAAAATTTGTTTGAAAAAAATTATGCAAAACATGCCTTGGTAGCCCATTACAATGATGCAAGTTGTCTTGCGGACCGGATTTGACCCACGAGCCTGAGTTTGACATGGCTGATGTCCTGATGTAGACTATTATGTAGACTAGGTATATTCCAACAATAATACATTTAAAATAGTCCTTCACTATAGAAAAACTATGACCAGTAAGATTTGCTGGAAGAGAACAGTTTTACCAACGACAAGGAGCCTCAAGGATTTGAATAAATTGAGTTGTGGGGTGAGGATGGGCGGGACTTTGTCATAAAAGAGTTTCAATCCCGTCACAATTTAAAGAGTAACTGATATTCCCTTTAAAGCTGGGGTACCTAACTTTTATCTTATAGAAATAATAATTTGAGTCATGTAAAATTAAGAGTTTGTGAACTAATCGGATTGTAATGTCACTATTGTCTCATTATAAAACATGTTATATTTTGCATACATGTAAGCAAGAGCCTTTTGAGTCACTATTTGGAGCTTGGGGCTGAGAGCTTATGCGAGTAAAAACTGGTGATGGTATTGTTTTGAGATATAGAATCAAGTATTTTGCTGTGTGGAAATTAGGTACCCCAGCTTTAATCTCTTTCAACTGAGTCCCGACCACCTTACAAAAAGGCGGCGTTGCTGTTTTGGTGTAAAAAGTTGAGGGAAATATACAAAGCGAGCCAAATTGCTTCAAAATTGAGCAAAGACAATTTTGTCACTCGTCAATCACCAAGCTAGTTCTGGTACTGCCCTCTGCTGACGGGAGCTACTGGTCATCAAGCCTGAAAAATTACAAGCACCATTTGCCGAGACCGCATCGGAGTTTTGCGCCTCAATTTTCTTATTTGTTTTACATATATCCTTAAAAAATATATATTCTGATTCTGAAATTAAAAGTCATATAATATAATTTCCTCTCTGTCTCTCGTCTGTAGCCATTAAACCACACACTTCCACTTTTCAACGCAAGAAATGTGACAACAATTCCTCCCGATGTGAGTTAAACTCTCTTGAAAACACCTCGATCGTTACTGAGCCGAAAGAGGGCACAACAGAAATGGTAAACAAAGACAACTTATCATACCCATTCTAATTGGATTGAACTGCTAATTTTCTTCTGCATTTTCCCCACCAGCTTGACCATCGTCCAGCACCACCTCCACGACTCTGCAGTATCAAAGAAGAGCAGCGGAGCCCTATCCCAGTGTCTCTTTACATACAGAAATGTCGCTTGGTGTGCCCTGCCACTTCCAACTTACCAACACGCCAAAAATCTCCAGCCCTGCTGGCAGATAAAGACTCGATGTTGCGTCAGAAGGACCGCCAGATCGAGGAGCTCAAGAGGCTGCTGTTGCACAATCAGCATTTAGTGGATATGCTCAATATTAAACTGGAAAAGAGGAAGCGACAAGAGCAAAAGATGGAGCTTTTGAGAGTAGTACCTCCGGATAAAAACAATCAATGTTCAAAGACGCCATTTTCAACCGGTGAAATCGCTGTAAAGGTTAAGCAAGAAATTCTAAGCGATGACTATAAGGAAACTGGACCACAACTTGAGTCTAAGCTCACTGATGGGAACACTGGACAACATGGCCGACATCTACAGGCAGTTCACAGACTTTTGCTCCAACAACAACGCAGACTCAACAGGCAGCAGCAGCTGGTGATTCCAAGGGAAAACAGAAGCGCAGAGCACAAGCAGAAAAAAGTGTGTCAAGAGAAAAAGATGAAGACGCTCCAACGGCAGCAAAGTACAGAGCTCGACTCAAAACAGATTCTGCAAAGACAAGAGAGGAGGCTCAAGGGGTGTCAGCGCATTCAAGTCCTGACCCAGAGAGACTTAGAGCTGCAATCCACACAGGTAAACAACAGCTACTGAGAATAGTATTGATGGAAATTTGTTTCATTTATTTGCTTATTTTTAGAAAGATCATAACAAATTCAAATATGTAATCATAACGGGATCATATACAACAATTAGCAAAACTTGCAATGAGTCCGACCAACATTTTAGCGAGCAATTTTCAATAGCCTCTATGTTTAAAGTCTAATTTTATTCAGAGTAAAAGTGCAATATCAAGAGAATTACAACGAAAACAGTAAGTTAGTAAGTAATCTTTATCTATATACCGCCTTTCACAGACCAGAGTCACAAAGCGGTTTACAATTGTTATTTTTGGGCATTTGTCCTCTCACTCCACACAGAGATGGTCGCCATTACAGGAGGCGCATGCCAGACCTATTGTACATGTTTTTAGTAGTAGGGGAAACCGGAGCACCCGGAGGAAACCGGAGCAGACACAGGGAGAACATGCAAACTCCACTCAGAAAGGCCCTGTTCCGACCGGGATTCGAACCCAGGACCTTCTTGCTGAGAAGCGAGAGTGCTATCCACTCAGACACCGTGCCGCCCAAAAGCATAAATAGAATATCAACTACATTTTAAACATATGTATCAAAGAAAATTAGGCGTGTGTTGTGACAGTTGTGGCTTGTATAAACCATAAAAAAGAATGAGAAAGTACTGCTTATTCCTGATAACAAGATAGAAAGATGCTGGATCCTCTGACAAATCTTCAAAACGAGATGAAAGTGAACAAATTCAACACTTATTTTAGTCTCTTTTTGCTTGCAAATAATATGAATGATAGCTTTATTTTGTAATTTTTAAATATACTTTATTGCGTCTTTGCACACATCTCAGCACGATCCAAGCAAAGCTCCAAAAACCATATTAGACACTTTTTTTTCACCCATTGTGCCAAACAAGAAAAGCAAATAAAATATAGACATATACATACATACATATGCACATATACTGTATATATATATATATATATATATACACACACGCACTTATATACCACATTTATATTCACACACACAAGCATACATATACATACTGTATATACATACATACACACAACATATATATGCACACTCTACACACACCTACACTTGCACACACACACACACATACATACACACCTCAAAGTAAGCTAGGACAAATAAGTAAATAACAGATTGTACAAAAAAAAAATACAAGAATTATAGATTTTTTTGTTGTCATTTTGATTGGTTTGGATTTCATCATGCAGCTACTGTACCTATTAAAAGTTATGATCCAGTCTTGTGTGTTGCTTCTTGCAGATCTCTCCAGTGTGCCCTGAAAAGAAGCTCAGCCACATGCCAGCTTTAGTCACCGATGGCAACGGAAACCACTTCCTGATCTCCCTGAAGAATTCTGTCACAGAAAGTCAAACCCACGGGGACACACCCAAACCCATCACATCTCAGGTAGACATTATTTGTGTTGATAAATTCCATTGTTCTGGCTTTTTGTTTGTGTGTTCCCTCAGCAGTTCCAGAGCTCTCCCTCTGATGTCCCTGGACACAGCTCTGCTCAGCTGCCTGCTGCTGATAATGAAGACAGAGCGATTATGCACATGGGAGGCCTCACGCAGCAAAGCACAAAGGTGAGGTATACATGAAGAATCTGCACACGCTGAGATCACACCATTCCATCAACAGTTTGCATTCACACAACTAGAACTGTTTTTGAATACTACAGCTATGTACTGTTATATATACTGTACATATTTACAGTGTAATGTGATTTTTTCAACGTCTCAATCAGTTGCAGCAGAGCTGTTTGTCACAAAACTATGTCATATAACGAGAAGAGCTCTTCGCAGACCTCCACCTAGAGGCACAGTTCCATTTGTTCTACATCCAATTAAATCAGTTGATCCCTGACCATTGTGCACATTTCCTAGCTTGGCAGTTATCTGACTCTTTCAGAGTGGAGTTTGCATGTTCTCCCCGTGTCTGCGTAGGTTTCCTCCGGGTACTCCGGTTTCCCCTACCACTAAAAATATGTACAATAGGTCTGGCATGCGCCTCCTGTTCGGCGACCCCGCTCCCATCTCTGTGTGGAGTGAGAGGACAAATGCCCAAAAAAAAAATAACAATTGTAAACCGCTTTGTGACTCTGGTCTGTGAAAGGCGGTATATAAATAAAGCTTACTTACTTACTTACTTGACTCGTCAGGCGACACATTTCCTAGAAAATTCCTGCATATCTTTCTATAGCTGAGTTATGTTGCCCACAGACAAACAAACAAATGTCAGGATCACTTTACCTCGAGGGTGGAGGTAATAAACAAAGTATTCAGTTCGAGATAAAAGTCTGACAGTGGCCCGATGCAGGTTATTATTGCTTTGCTAATTAGTTTGGCTTCAACACCATTACAGTGATGAATGTCCAGGCAGCATACAAAGGGCTAATTAAGAGGTGCTGCTCGTGCAGGTGCACTGTGAGAGTGATGTGAAGCTGGAGTGGAATATAGTGTGCTGTTTATTGTATAATGCTGTCATCAGCAGCCTTCTGCGGAGCTCTCGAGGATCTCCGTGACACTATTAATAGTGAGGTTTAGTAGAACAAACTCATGCTCCGCTCTGGCTCTGCTGTGTAACAGGAGGCTGTTTGTGCAGCTGAGTGTGAAGGATGTCATTAGAACTAACAATCGGAGTCTGCAGAATGGTTAGAATTGAAGGAGCTTTCTGTGCTGTTATCAAAGACTGTCACTTTGTGTTTTCATGAACTCCAGGCAGAGTGCGCAGGATTGCAGCAACACTTCACTGAGAGGCTGTGTGAGAGCGACAACTCGGACACAAGTGGACACTCACAAGTGAGACAATGGAACCAGATTTATCCCCTTGATACATTCTTACTAATAGATTATTTCGGTTTATATCCCAACAGGAAATATGCACCGGCCTGGATTGGATCTTTAGTCCACTCTCTTCCACTACTACCTCACCTGATCCCAAAGTATGATAACTTACACAGACATGCAGAAAAAAGCATACAAAGACGGCAGATCAGAAACACATAGAAGAACCTCACCTCATGAATCTAAACTGCTGTTTCTGTGTGACAGGATCCGCTACATGAAGACTTCATCGACATCATACTGAAGACAGGAGGTATCCATTGTTCACTTCATTAACAGAATATCTGATCTATGTCCACTTTGAGTTTAAAGAGAAGAATAGGCAGCACCAGCTTTTGCCTGCTCCTGGTCATGGACACATTTTTTGTAGTTTTATGTCTAAATGACATTAAATTAATAAACAGAAGAATACATTTACATAATATTATTCTGATCACATTGCAGATATCTCCAGATTCAAACCGACTCCTGATCCTTCCTTAGATGACCTCCACCACTCTCCCCCTTCTCCGCCAATGCTGCTGTCACCCACCGTTGCCTCCTGCTTTGACCCGGCCAAACCAGCACCCTCAGCACCCCATACGTCACCCGGACGGCTAGAGGACTTTTTGGAAAGCACAACGGGCCGGCCACTTCTTGGAGTGGAGCCCGGCGGTCCGCTGACTCTGATCGATGACCTCCACAGTCAGATGTTGTGCACCCCCAGTATCTTGGACCACCCCTCTTCTCCCATGGACATTGAGCGGGCTGTGGACACTGTGGACTGGTTCTACATGACCATGGAGGACAACTACGGCAAGGATTTAAAGCTAGCCCCAACGTCACCCCCTGCTGTCTTTTCTGCAGACTTCCTGGACACTTACGACCTGGAGACGGCCTGGGACTCCTGCTTGTAATGGATTCAAACTAGTCACTATATATACCATCAAACCTTACTAACATTTTATACAGCTCATCAACTTAACACGTTTTTAGGATTATTCACTACAAACATTTTTTTAAGTTTGCTCATTGCCTTATTCAAACCATAGACTGAAATCACTGGCTGAGTGGATAGCACTCTCGCTTCTCAGCAAGAAGGTCCTGTGTGAGATTCATCTCCTCCTACCTGGGCGGAGCCTCCAACAGCCTGAGCACCACAGCTGGAATCAATCTACCATCATCCACCACTGAAATCCAGCTTGTACTCACCTGCCACCTGCTACAACCTGGTACCTGTATCTCTCCAACTTACCTGTTACCTGCCTGCACGCCAGCTTCTTACCTGCCCAAGCCCAGCCACACTCCTCAAACCCACCTGCACATTTCATCATTGAAACTGTTAAAACTCTTAAACTCTGTCTACTTTTGGGTCCTACTATTTGCACTGCGACAGGACCCTTGTTTCGTGATGGGTCCCAAGATTTCTATGAAGTAAGAATAAATGTCTCCCAGCAGATCGGTGCCAAAACATATGTCTCATATGGGCTTTGAATTTGTTCAGTTCGGTCTTGTATACTTTTTTTGAGCTTGTCTTTATATCTCTTCTCATCTTCTTGCGTTAAAGTGCTAATATACAGTGCATTTCTCCCACTGAGTCTTCTAAAAGTACTCGTTGTATCCATGCTTCAGTATGTGCCGCGCCGTCTTCTTGCCACTTAGCGAGTGGCGCACGCGGATGTAAACAAAGATCCTTCTATAGGCCCTCATCAATTATGTTAACCAAAATGAAGGGAAAGGTGCACTTTTATTATTCCCTGTAAGGCAATTCAATCCTCTGCATTTGACCCATCCTGATGCCGCAAAGGTTTACGTCAGGAGCAGTGGTCGGCGTAGTAACAGCACCCGGGAACCCATCACCAGATGTTGATGCTCGGCTTGGTCAGGACTACCGGAGCTGGAGGATTTAACCTAGTGAGCATGTTTTTTTTTGTGGTAAGGGAAACCGGAGTACCCAGAGGAAACCTACGCAGGCACGGGGAGAACATGCAAACTCTAGAACCCAGGACCTTCTTGCTGAGAGGCGAGAGTGCTATCCACTCAGCCACCATGCCGTCGAACCACCTTTCTTCGTTTAATAGCATGTCACAGAGTACTATTATTTAAAGTACTTTGTGGAGTTACTTCAAGATTTCATTTGGATCTTGACTGAACTACAACAGAGTGACCTTTTCTGTGTCGTACAGTACACAGTATTGATCTCGCACATACATCTGGTTATTTGTGTGGAGCCGCGGCTTCACATGAAGGCACTCATTAAGATGCTTTAACTGTGTCATTACTGCACTGTTCTGACCTTCATCTAATTGGCCCCCAATGCCCCTTTAGCTGTTTTTAAGAACATATAATCAATGTTCGGAGCTGACAGGAAAATTAGGGAAAATTGATGAGAAAAGTTCAGCCTGAATGATATGTTGCTTTTTAAATTAAGTTAAACCTTCTTTTAAAGCAACAGTACCCCCATTTCTGAAGGGAGAAAAATCACCTGGATTCTTCTATAGAAACAATTTGAAACCACACTCATTCGCCAATGAGCTTTATACAATACTGTGGATTGTAGCCGATGAAACAGAAGCAATCACACTTGCAGAAAGGACAACCAGTTTTATACTTTTAGCAGTGGACTAAAAACATCAAAGGCTTACTATCAACCAATGAATATCAACTGATAGTTCAATAGTTGTACGTTAAAGTGACACATGTTTTAGTAATTGATTAAGCTTCTCATTACAGATGTGGACACTTGTTTGTGCTGAGGGATGAGATTGTACGACTACATTGACCTGGTCTTACCACACTTTTCATTTCGTACTAAGCTCTGGATTTGCTCCATAGAGATCCATTAACAGGTGGGAGGGGTTATCTCCAAACTGAAATGGATCTGAGTTTGCCATGACGCATGTAATGCATCTGCACGAGTTGCTAGCATTTAGCCTAGCCATCTCTGTTGCCACTAACGGAGCCCGTGGGAATTAGAGTCACAAAATCTTTGCCAGCAACAAAATTTGCTAAACATTTCTCTTGCTCCGGCTTCAATTCATTGATAGTGTCTCTGTATGTTTTTACTAACTTTTGTTAGTGTTAATGTTAATTATTAAATGTATTTTTTCTCAAAAAAAAAAAAAAAAAAAAAAAAAAAAATGTTTGGGAGCCAAACCAGAGCGCATTACTTTACTATTGCATTCTCCGCCATTGCCAAACCACAACCGGCAAATTTGGAGCACTCTAGACCTCTACCTACAACACCCGCCTCCCCCGCTCGCTGATTGGTCGGATGGGATACAACCTGCAGCCACATGTCCCAGACGTTCAGTACGTGCATGGATCTATTATAATAACTGGATAGGGTATTACTAGCTTAGATCTGAAGAACCCATGTGCTCGAGGGATTCTCGCAGTACTCCAGACTAAATTCACGTGGGCTACCCAGAAATTTTCCCCATGGAACTCAGCTCGACCGCAGCTGATAGAGAACCTACAGCTTTCATAAAGGTCGGATTTTGTGGGGATTTTAGTGTCCCTTGTCATCCTGAACTATTTTTCGTCCTAAATCCTTCGGTTTTCTTTAAATCCAAACTTTAGTGCCACATACTCTGCCCGTCTGGCTCCCGCTCTAACTCGCTCTGATTGGTCAGAGCGCGGCTGAGCCCCTCTGTGCACATGCATGAGAGCCACACACGCGTATTTGGCTCAACTCATCATGGGAGATCATCCATTGCGCAGAACCGGGAGGATCAGACGATGCCCAAATACCTGCGAGTTCCCATGGATCTTTGCGAGTTTCGCTAATCTTTCGGCTCCCATGCCGGCACAACGCGCCACTGAGCACCAACCATTCATTTGAATACGGCGCCATCTTGGATCGCCGGGGCTTGCGTACATGTAGGGAAATAATAAATGACCAGAGTTTACGGATGGCTAAGGCCAGGCTAACATTGATCAGTAACAACTAGAATGTTTGTAACTTCACACAATTGTATGTATGAATTTGGTAAATGTTGCGTTTTTAATGAGTGTCTGCTCTTGAAAATAAATCTATGAATATGTCCTCACTTCCCTTTTTCAGAGTCAAGTAATCTTTATTTTGTTCAAAAAACCTAATCGTTTAAAGAATAATCACCTGTAGATAAGAATAACTGTTAGTTACAGATATAAGATATATCCAACATGAAAAATGAAGGCAATGAAAACAAATTTGCTTTAAACTTTCACACATTTGTTAATTCTCAGGTTGCTAAGTAGTACTCTTGGTTCATTCAGTAAACCATCTATTTTTAAAGAAGATTTATTTTTTAATGGGTTCAAAAATTACTACATACAAATTGCATTAAAATCCATAATTTAATAGAAAACTTGAGCTCATTGATTCAGCTTGTGTATGAATTCAGGCCGTAAAAAGTGCTGAGTAGAAACTTAGCGTGACGCTAGCTCTCCTCCAATCACAGAACGAGGAGTGGTGCTGTTCCGAACAGACTACCTCTTCGTCTGCAGTGCAGGTAAACAGAGCAGCATGGAAGCAGAATGTGGCTATACCTCCTCTGGCTGTAACTGCAGATATAGCAAAATAGCCCAAACAACGCAAACCCCAGTTACTTTGTGTAACTAAGGTTCTATGAATATGTTGCCCTGTAGGCTTCGCTATTGCATATCTCTCGGAAGCACCGCTTCCCGCCCTGAGAAGATCAAACGATCCACCTTGACGTCCTGGCGTAGGTCAGTCCCCTATAAATAGAGCCATGCACCACAGCTCGTCTCCTTTCGAACTCAGCCGAATAAGAGAGGGCAGGCCTGCTGGGCTCAACATATTCATAGAACCTTAGTTACATAAAGTAAGTGGGGTTTCTATTTCATATGTTTCTTCAGCCCTTTAGGCGTCGCTGTTGCATAACATAGCGAAGCCCAGACCAATGTACTCCCAGCAGGCATGAACTCCGGTGATTGGAGCAGACTCGTGCCCCACGTGCTCATACCGCAACCAAGCGGTAGAGACGGAGGTCCTACGAGCCATAGAGAAAGGGATGCGGGGCCACCTCTCCCAAGAGGGCCAGCGAATTCCCAAAACTGCAAGCAGGAAAGATAATTTAGAACCAACCTGGGCAGGCAGCCTCTCCCAAGAGTGTTTGATCCCCAGGAACGTAAAGCAGACTGCAGAAGGGTCTAGGCTGCCTCTCCCAAGAGCGCCAATCCTCACTGCAGAGGTGACCAGGCCGCCTCTCCCAAGAGCGCCAACACCTCTCCACACAACCCTCCGCCTGTAGACTGGTCCCCACCGAGGTCTGTCGAAGAAGAAACTAGGGCCGCCCTGCACTCAAAACCAAATGAGCCACAGAGTCAGAGGCCACATCCAGTAGGTAAAACTACACAAAGATTGAGGAGGAGGACCAAGACGCCGCTCTGCAGATCTCCTCCACCAAAGTGCCCCGGAACAAAGCCACCGAAGCGACAACCCCGCGAGTGGAGTGAGCCCTCAATTGGGCCGGAGGCGGCAAGCTCTGAGCTTCATACGGCAAACGGATAGCAAGGCAAAGCCAGTGGGCCAAGCGCTGTGGAGACAAAGCAGCACCCTGACTCCTGGTGCCAAACAAAACTCCCCACAAACAACAGATCCGACCGTCTGAGGTCACCAAGGGGTGGCAACGCGCAGAGTGGCTACCAAACCCCACGTGCCCTATGGTAATGGCCGACGCGAACACACCCAGAGTGGCGGCCGCCCTTCCCTTCTCCAGCAAGGACTGGAGAAAAGCCAAGACCTCCTGGATGGAACACGAGGTGGGGTCCAGGCACCTGTCCACGCACCAAGAGGCAAAGAGTTTCCAACAAACCTAATACGCTTTGGTGGTGGATATAGCCCTCCCACCCTGAATAGTAGCGACCACCGAGGGAGGGAGATCAAGGCTCAACAGTTTCCTCCTTTCAGCCTCCAAACCATGAGCCTGCGTCCCAGGACAGGTCGTGAGTAAAGGCCTCCCCCAGCCTGTCTCAGAGCATCGGGACGGTCCGGAATGGGCCAAGGCGAACTGAGCGCCATGCCCACCAGGTCCAGATACCACCTGGCTCCCGGGCTGTCTGGCGCCAACACGAGGATGGAGACCCCCTCCGTCCTCGCGTTGCCCCGCGTCCTGGGAGTGGGAGGACTGGGCATCCTCCTCGTAGGGCTTCACCAACTCCCCCTCCTCGTATTCGGACCCTGATCCAGATCCGGAGCCTGACATCTCCGAAGAAGCAGTGTGAGCGGAGGGTGGCACACCATGAGCGACGCCACCATGAGCATCACTCCAGTCGGCGTTGAGTAACCCGCTGCGTCTATCACGCTCCTCCCTGGGGAGCGCGAGGCAAGCCACACGGCTGGGGCTTTCCTCAGCGGCATGAGGCCAGCCCAGGCAGAAGACACAGGACTCGTGGCGGTCAGCCTGGGAGAGTGCCGCTGGGCACAAGTCGCTGATCCGCAGCCTGACACCGGAGGGTGACAATCCTTCAGGCGCGGCAATCTTGCTTGAAGACATCTTTGTTTCAATTGAATCGAAGCTTCTCTTAGGCAAGCTGAGAGAGAAAGGAGACGAGCTGTGGTGCATGGCCCTATTTATAGGGGACTGACCTACGCCAGGACGTCAAGGTGATTGGAGCGGTGGATCGTTTGATCTTCTCAGGGCGGGAAGCGGTGCTTCCGAGAGATATGCAATAGCGAAGCCTAAAGGGCTGAAGCAATATATGAAATAGAACAGTGAGGAAGAGAAGAGGGGTAAGAAAAGGGGAGAAGAGGAAAAATATTATCAAAGAAAATGCAAGCCCGGGTGAATATAGCTAGCATGAATTGTATCCTTGCTGGAGAGACCTGCGGGAGCAGGACTGCCTCGGATTCCATTTGGACGCAAAACTAGAGGTAATCTTTAAGTTATACATCTTGTTAGCAGTGCGTTGCTTTTGTATCATTTCATCAGTGATTGTTATACAGCTCACAAGAAGTGGGCTAATGCTAATATTTGCATACATAGCAGATGGCTAACAAAACTAGATGGGTCAGTGGGAGGAGAGCGTAGGGGAAACGAGAAGCCTGTGAGCAAGTTGGGGGACGGTGCTAAACATTAAAACTGAATAAAACCTTGCAAAAACGGGTGTAGCTCCTTTTATGATAATAATATTAATGCATTGGTTTTATATAGCAATTTTTTTGACACTTACAGGTGCTTCACATGTCATTATTCATTCACTCCATACACAGTGGCAATAAACTACTATTGTAGCCACAGCTGTCCTGGTAACCAACTAGTATGCGCCATTTGCCCTTCCGACCACCAACAGCCATTCACACACACACACACCAGACTCATTCTAGGCAATGTGGGTGAAGTGTTAGCACTTTACAGCCAACTGGTGTTCCCAGAGGTCTCCTATCACAGTACTGACCAGGTTCTGTCCTGCACAGCTTCAGAGGCTGTGCAGGACAGCTTTCACATGCAAGTAAATGACTACAAAGGAGATTTTGTGCTAAATGTGCATTTTGTAAAAGGTCACTGTAGGAAGTTACCTGTCCCTGAACAAATGATGTCCCTGAACAATGATTGCTAAGGCAAGCTGGAGATTCCCTGCGAACGAAGGCATCTGATTGGTCAATCTTTATACGGCTCATATCTGGATTTAAACCCTTGTAATAGTTTGTGAAAACATAGCATAGACCTTTTTTTCCCAACATCTGAAACAGTCTCCCTGCGAGTAACTTTCAGAGTCGTAGTTAAAAAAAAAGGGGAAGCAACATTTCAAGACTGTTTCATGTTTTTGTTTAGTTTGAAACTTAAATAACAGTAACAGGTCCATGACATGGTGATATAACCCAAGGAGGCCCTCAAGAGAACATACTTCCCTCTGGTCTGTCATAAATGCGAGCTCTACTTAAACTGTATTACATGTGAGGCTTTACAGCAGGCATCATCCTGCAGACTTGCATCTTTAGAGCAGAAATTTTATAAAACTAAGCATTTCTTTCTAATCTTCCATTTGCAAATGTGTCGGGGTGAAATAAGAAAATCAGCAGAAAATCCATTATTAAATAGATGACTTGTATGTCTCAGATGAATGGCAAACCCTGGACCCATGCTTAATGAGAGCTGGTCAAATTTAATCGTGGCTGTTTAGCTGCAGAGTGGAAATGTGCCATCAGAGCAAAACACACTCATGCATATTCACACTCAAACTACAGGCAAAGGTTACGATCCTTTCTGCTGCTTTCTGCTTCTCTCCCGTGCTGTGTACCTCTTATATCAAAATATCCAAAAAAAGAACTGGTCTAATATAGTTAAATTAACCATGTTTTTACATAAGGTATAGTTTAATTTGAATGAGGGCAATCAGAGTTTTCTCTACCTATATAGTGCATTTTTACAAACCAAGGTCACCCAAAGCGCTTTACAATGTTTAGAGTTCAGACATTGTTTCATTCTTCCACACACGGTGATGACGGAAGTAGGACGCCGAACACACTCTTGTATAGTTTCCAATCAACACCATCCATTCACTCACTCATTACCTCGCTTCTGTCAGGGCAGCTGTGGTCGCAGTGGTATCTTCACAACCGTGTATGGAGTGAAAGATGCCATGTGAAGCATCTTTGAGTGCAAAACCTGAATATAAAAGCTATGCATTTTTAGGGCATCAAAAATATTTGACACATGAAAGCAATTCAAAGCTATTTAAACCAGAGCATACAATATACAATACAATACTTGTATTACTCTAAAAAAACGTTAAAAACATTGAGTATTGTGTTGCATAACTGACCCATAAACATCCAAATCTAAGAACCTAATGATATTCTACGTCCACACGTTTCATGCTGTCTAATGCATATCAAATCAGATCCTTGGTCCTATATAGTAATTTCAACTACTTCATTAGCGGCCATACAAGCTGGTGCAAGTCTCATTTATCATTCATGTGGCTTGATTAAACTCAACATAAACCGTCTTTGCTCCCTCCACTCTATAAGGGAAGGACTTAGCACCACCCTCCTTCCCTCTTTTGCCATAATAGAAATGCTAATCACGTTTTTTTTTTTTATCCTCGCTTCAATCTGCTTATCTCTGAAGATGCACACAATTTCTGACTAACTACGTCAAAAGCCGACTTAACATGACAGCAAACAGTGTGCGCATGATGTGACACAGTTTTTACCACCGCGATGACTTCGGTTTTGTGTTTGCTTGAAGCAGGAGCTGGCAAATATCAGGGCAGCACTGTTGTTTGTGCAGAGATTAAGAAAGTAGCAGATTTGTGAGCAGGCATTAGCACATAGGCAAACACGTATGAGTCACAAATGTGTGTGTTTACAGAATGTGCAGGATAACGGGAGGCTCTTGCTGCAGTATTGAGGGAAAACTGATATTGTTCTTGTTGTTTGACACTACTTTTGTTAAGGCCTTTATGCTGATGATGCCAATGTATGTATTTTTTATTGGCATCATCAGATCAGCCCCCTGGAGGTTAACAGCCTAAAACAATCATAATTATGTGTGAAAGAAATGCATGATTTTTACTTATTAATAACTCAAACGTTTTGTGAATCACTGAGATATGGATATTGCACCATTATCGCCATGGCAAGGTTTTTTCAATCATTCAGGCCTAGAGCAAATTACCATCATGATAATTTAAGGCTACATCTCACGTAAGTCAATATCATTTTGGCAGATATTAGTTTCAACAACTTAGTTGATATACAGACGTAAATGGGCTTTGGAACAATTATCTAACGTTAAAGTTTCACCTGTGTTAATAATTCTATTAAATTTCTATTAAACAACAGTAGTAGTCTCCTAGCACTTTACAAGGTTGTAAACCAACAACTGATGGAAAGAGAATATTATATAATGTATTTTCATATGCACATCATGGTAGAAGGATGTAAGGCTGCCTTTGAGTCTTCAACTCTTTTGACCTCTAATCATGCACTCACACATTCATACATAATGCAAGCTGGATCAAGTACCTTTACCAAGGACAACGACAGAAAAACTGGGATCAAAGCAATGGAGTTCTTGAGTGTATACTTGGGCCGATCCCCCGGCGGGTGCTTCTCATCACAATCCTGGCTCAGGGTGACCAGTGATACTGAATGATGGATGCAATGCAATTTATTCTGCAGGACAATATTTAGAAAGGATAGGACGTGCGGTTATGTCTAAATTCTGTTTTTTACTTCAAATTGTCACATTTGGACAGTGACATGTTGGAATGTACTTTTATCAAATAAACCCCTGACCTTTAACATGGTGTAGTAGCATACATACATGGGCTCTATGAACCAACTTGGACTCTGAGGAGCACAGGGACTGGCCTCCTGCTGGGACCATGAGGAGCACAGGGACTGGCCTGCTGGGAGTGTCTTGTTATGCTGCATTTATCATGAAAAAAAAGTTTGAACTAATGAAGATGACACAATAAAGTCATTTTAAAAAAAATGCTGCTTGGATATAAGTGAGATGGCTTCTTCCACACGTGCAAGAGATCATAGACATGAGGCGCTGGTGCATCTGATGGACAGCCTCCAGTCTCTCTGCATACGCTCTTTGATGCCTCTCGGAGCAGCGGGTGGCCTGCTTATGATGGGGGCGAATAACTCTGCTATCAGCAAACATTCTGGAAAATGTATTTATTTTCATGTGCTGATTATCCCACGTTATGTAATTAAACAAACAAATAAATCAAACAGTGCAGATGCTTTTGAGTGTAATAGATGTTTTGCGACTACCCTTGAGGAAAGATGCAAAGAAAGGGTAATCTCGCTACAAGCTGCAACGTCATGGGGGGCGAAACACGTGGAGACAATGGCAACATTTCAAACTGTATCCAATGTGCCACACGGTTAAAAGGTTTAAGTGGTAAACCGGTCAAATTGAGATTGGAAGGAATGTTTCTGTTGCTATAGAATCTATAAGATAAAATGGGATACAGTAAAACATTCTTAATCAGCTGCTCAAGGTCGAAGCACAGATGACGGACCACTTTCTTAATCTGGAGCTCTGTAATGGAAGCATGCTGTGATCAAACCCATGATAACACATGCACTCACAGTAGGTTTCTGCGCTTTTTGGGGACACAGAAACTTTTAAAGATGATTTTAAATGTGCTGCTTGCCTAATAGTGTACTTGTGACTTTGCAATGTCACAAGAACACAAAGTCCTCCGAGACGACTGCTGTTATGAATTAGACTTGTACAAA